TCCCTCCCTTCCTTCCCTACATTCATCCCTCATTCCTTCTTTCCTCCCTCCCTTTCTTCTCTCTCTTTCCCTCCCTTCTCTCTTTCCCTCCCTTCTCTCTTTCCTTCCCTTTCTTTCTTTCTTTCTTTCTTTCTTTCTTCCTTTCTTTCTTTCTTTCTTTCTTTCTTTTCTTTCTTTCTTTTTTCTTTCTTTCTTTCTCTTTTTATCTCTTTCTTTTTTTCTTTCTTTCCTTCTTTCTTTCTTCCTTCCTTCCTTCCTTCCTTCTTTCCTTTTCTTTCTTTCTCTTCCTTCCTTCCTTTCTCTCTTTCTTGTTTTTTTTTTGTTTTTTGCTGGGCCTGGGAGCTCTCGCTAAACTCCTTCTGCTCATGCTTTTACTCCACCACTTCAGCCACAGTGCCATTTCTGGCTTTTTCTGTGATCACAGACTTTCCTGCCATGATTAGCTTTGAACCATGATTGTCAGACCTCAGTCTCCTGAGTAGGTAGAATTACAGGAGTGAGCCACCAGCGCCCAGCTTCTTTCTTGTTTTATTTTTATTTTTATTTTTTTGTCTTGGGTGGGTTTTTTTGAGATAAAGTTTAACTTCATAGCCCAAGCTGACCTTGAACTCAATTTTCCTGCCTAGGCTGAATCACTGGAATTACCAGTGTTCAGTATATGCTACTATACCTGGATTGGAATAGAACTTTATATTAAGTAGAAAATAAAGTGTAGAATGTGAATATTATAATAAAAATACTTGTTTAACATCATTGTGCTCCCCTAAGCCTTTCCTTTAAATTAACTTGTTACTTTACTTTGTGACCAGAAGATGTTTAGAAATCTAGGATGTGGCTCAATGCTAGAAGGCTGACTCTCATGCCTCTGTACCTGATTTCAATCCCAGAGCTACAAAAAAAAGTCTAATAATACCACAGTGACGAATTCAAAACAAATGTCAAATAGTAAAAAAGACAACTAGAAAATTTGTTATTCTTTGGAGTCACCTACTTTTTTATCTTTTTCTTTCTCCCTGTCTCCTTTTCATTTATTCTTCACTTTCCTAGTCTATCAATCCAGCAATCGAATCATTCTGCTGACTGGAGTATGACTGTAGGCCTCAGAAAGCCATTGTGCCCTAACTTCCTGAACAGCTACTTATTCAAAATTATGTTTCACTTTCTACTGCCACTAAAACTTTAGTGAGGTCATTTTTTTATAATTAAAAGAATGGAAAAGTATGTAATTTCTGTCATTAATTTTAATACTCTTTAGAGAAATGAAACAAGCATAAAGCGTCAAAGGTATTTTTGTGAAAAAAAAATTTAACAGAAGGTTTGTGTGAACTTTTTTGGCCCTAGGGAGGTTGCTAAATGATTAACAAATGTATTTTAATCTTTTTCTTTTTATTCCTAAAGTAATTCAAGGCATGTGATTCTGTTATTCTCTCTTTTAATTCAGGGAACCACAAAGAGCTTTGAGGGTTTCATTTAATTTTTGAATACTATTTTACTATACAATTTTAAAATAATACAATAAATTCACTCTTTCATTTTTTGTGTTTGAGTTTTGTAGGAAAAAAACTGCACAATAGTTTTATACTTTGTGTACTTTTTATTATACCTGGGAACATGTGGTTCAGTCTAAGCATAGTGTTCCTTTCAGAGAATACAGTTCAGTAAAGTATTAAAAAAGAATTTCACTTTTAAACACGCATGCTCTGTTAACTTGAAGAGAACCTGAATATCCAGCCCATCCCTGCAGTTATAAAATGCTCTACTATCTTCCTGTGTCTTTTTCTACCCAAATCTCAAAATCCAGAATAATTCTGTCTGTTTCAGTTCACCACGGCTTCTTTCCTCTCCTTTCTTTCTCATTTCTCTGTTGAGCAAATCAATTGCATATCTAGCCTCTTCATGGACACACTAGTACTTGACCTTCTCTTCGGTTGCAACAGTTAAGATTTTGAGTATGCAGCAAATATAAATTGTCAGTATTTGTTAAAGAGACTCAACCTTGTGCATACATGGATTTCAGTTGTAGGTTATACCAGTCTTTTGCTTTTGTGTCTCATGCTTGATCGAAGTCACCATGACTTGTGTCTTGGAAGGAAGAAGGACATGAGATAGAGAAATACAAGGAGAAAATGTCACCCAAGTAGATAGAAGTCAATGGAGTCTTGTATCTTGTCACTGTACCCAACATTCATGTTTAACGTGGTCTTCAGGAGAAACTGAAGGACATTGCCAAGGCTGATCTAAGGAGCTACATCATCACTGACAGTTGTTGGCAAACCAGGTGAGCCAGCAGCACAATCTCATCGTCTGGTAGCCAGTACAATGACATTCTGAGCGTAAAAGCAATATGGTCATGATAACCCAGAGCAAAGTACAAAGTGAAAGACTGAAAAGTTACTGCCTACCTAGGGTGATGGATATAAATCCAGAAAAACAAAACAAAAACAAAAAGCAATAGACTCTTTTCATATGGATTTTTATATCATCAAAATGCTTTCTTCCCTCCATGATTTTGTTGACAAATCTGATTGATTGCTTACAGAACGGTGAGTAAAGTCTTATCTGAAAACTTTTCCTTTTGCTGCTTTCAAGATTCTATTTATATTTGTCTTTGGGTGTTTTGATGACAATGTCTTATGGGGTAGCTATCGGTCCATCTATTTTCCTTAGACTTACTTAGCTTCTTGGGGTTTATAAATGTATGTCCTCCATCCAATTTTGGCACCTTGACCAATATTTCTTTTGACATTCATCCTTCTGTTTAAGTGTCTTATGCTTCTATTTTTTCCAAACTACTACTTCCACTGAGCCTAGAGATCAGTTCAAGGTAATAGCATGGGTTTTCTCAGAACTTCTCCTTGCACACGTTTTGCCCTGAGCATGCACATGGCTTTCTAAATCCCTCTGTATTCATGACGTTTTTGTGAATGCCTACATTTCCCAAGGAAGTTCTCCCCAGCTTTTGCTACTGTGCTTTACAGTCTGTTTTATTTTCCACTGCGATCGCTTGCCCCAGGCATCTAACAGTTGTTAGTTCATCTTGCAGTGTTTTTAAGCAATGAGCCCTGCTTTTTCAGCTCTTATTTGAAGTTCAGTTGCCTGACACCAGTCCTCCAGACAGTGTTTGGCAACTTAGAATAGACACCCACAGTCATTTATGAGGGTCTTTGCTGCTTCCTCTGGAAGGACCAGGGATCTCAAAGTGTGAACACAGACTGCCCTGTCTGTAGACAAAGGCCACAGGGAGGCCAGAAGAGAAGGCCAGAAGAGAAGAGGGGAAAGGCAAGTAATAAAACCCTCCCAAACACAAAACTGCTGTACTGTTTTGCAGCTGAAATTTTCTTGACTCAACATTTGCTCATTGCTTTTAGAAAATTTTGACTCTTTTTCTAGAGTCCTGAACAAGTTGTTTATGGAAGTTTCTCCTTGCTATGAAGTGTTTCTTTGCAGGGACAAGTGCGCAGAGCTACCTACTGAACCAATTTGCTAATGTTTCATTCTACCTTTGATCTTTATCAGGCAAATGTATTAAATAATCACACTAGCCCTTTTCCAAGACATCAAGAATTAAATAATTTTAAATGACATAAAATTATAAATGTAAGTTGTTGAGTAAAGCCAATATCAGAATAGACTACAGTGTCCTGTTTTGTGATGTTAATGAAAAACACTTAAGGATCTTTTTAATTTAACATTTGTTAAAATTGAAAGAAAATCTATAGTGTAAAAGTGAATGCCAGGAAACAGGTATTTGAAAGGTGGAGAGTGAAGTGAAGGGGACAGAAGTATATGAATGAAGAGAGGAATACTAAAGGGGAATACAGTCATAAAATGTCATATGTAGCCTGCAAAATTAAAACAAACTGACTGGAGGGATGGGAAACAATGATGGAAGGGGTAACATCATTCAAGTAGCATTGTATTATTTTTAAGGAAACACTTTTAACTCTAGACATTTTCTCTGGAAGACACATGAACCCTTGATCTTCATAAGCCTTAAGGCCTTGGGCCCCGGAAAGTGAATGGCACATATTGTAAGACATTGATAGGAAATTTGCATTACCTAATTGTGACTGTGATTGGCCTAGTCATAAATTTTGTTGCCATCGTAATCATACACATGCTTATTATTAAGACTCCCAGTGTTCCATTTTCCCTTAGTAGCAATGACTATTCAATTCAGTTGAGTACGATTTACCTGTACTCAGTAGTTTATAATGCTTCAAGAGTTTTAGAAAAATTGAAAGTTTGATTAGGAACTAGTTATTCAGATAATCGAAATATATTTAGTCCTTAGATGTCAAATGATTTTCTTGACTTTCTACATTCCTTTTCTCCCTCACTTCTTCCCTTCATTTTCCTCCATTCTAACCCTCCTTTTCCTCCTTCCTGCCCTCTCTCCTTCCTCCCCTTCCCTTCTTCCCTCCCTCCCTCCTTCCCTCTCTTTCCTTCCCTCCCTCTTTCCCTCCCTCCCTTCCTTCCTTCCTTCCTTCTTTTTGTATTTATTTTATGCTCAATTGTCAGAAAAGTTTATATTCATTCTGATAAGTCTGAAAGTAAACAAGCCATGATTTTTTGCTCCTAGAATAATTTAATGCAATTCCCTCTTTCAATGTACATTAAATTCAAATAACACTGGCATTTTAAAGATTTTTTTCTCTGAATATATTCAGGCTAGATTCAATATCTCTTCCCTGAAGCCTAAAATTACAGAAATGCAATAGATGAAAACCACCTATGTTCAACAAATATGAGAATTTGTAACATAATAAAAATTTTCTGTAGGCTATGTCCAATAGCTGTACTTCCAAGATAATACATTTTGCTTTTGCAAGTAGAGGATACTGAATCATTTACTTGGTTACTTTTTTGTGTGGTAAGACTTCGTAATATGAAAAAAATTGCTTAGGCCTATGCTTTGCTTGCCATCAATAAAGGGTATAGTAAAATAATTCTATAACAGTACTGTTTCATAATCACGTGTTTCTATAGGTTAAACCTAGGATATTTGAAAATTGAGTTTCTCTTAGGGACCAAATTAAGTTCAGTTGGGTTCAATAGCTACCCTTGCTCATCTGTCTCCCATCTAGACAGTCACTTTCAAGGTTACTGGGGTCTCGAGTAGCCTTTCCCACTCCTAGGATAAGGTCCAGTGGAAGAGCTCACTCTTGTGAGGGGTTTCCTCACAATAGTCCTCAGGACTATTATCCACTTAGGATTAAATATGTTTCTTTTTTTCTGGTTGTAAAGTTGACTGACTTCAAGAAAGATTTCAAAGAGGAATAGTTGAAATCATTTTCCTGCTGCTCTCATGACATTTGCATTCTGAAAGTAATGGAGTAATTAATTTTATTTATGTTCTAAACAGTTTCCTAAGTCATAACCAGCCAGTTTCTCAACTTTTTTAAATGCAAAATGACTGAGCTATATTTGTTTATATTCAAAGATAGCGAGGTTTTTTCATATATTGTTCTTCTGTGACATATATTTTCATTGTAAAGATATTGTATAAACGGGTTACAGTTACATGAGTAAGGTAAGGAGCACATTTCCTATCGATTATTGTTACCTTCTCCTTTATTTTTCCCCTACCATCCCTTCCCTCCCCAACTTCTCCCTCCCCCACCCAAGTTGTAAAGTTCATTTTCAACAAAGTATCTTGTACATCTCATTGTTAAACAACTTAATGGTTCAGTAAATCTACAGTCAGAACCTGACCATGAAAATTAGCTTGATGGTCCATGGTAGCCAATATAAATTATACAAAGCTATCCAAGCTAAACTTGCACAGATACTAATACTTAGATTTTTTAAAGGTATATGGATGGGAGATTTTGCATACTTTACATAAAGACTCTTGCAAATTATTCCATAATTTAACATAATTATAATCAACTAAATTGATTTCAATGAAAATAAAAAATGGCAAGTATTATCTTGCAATGAAAATAACGTAAATTAGATCCAATGGTTTATATGTGTTACTATTGTCATTTGTGATATAGAAATATTAAGCTTCAAAATGTTTTATTCAATATACAAATCATTTTCTTACATAATAAAATTTTACCTAATGTCTTAAACGTAAACATAGGGTAAATATGAAGGAACTCATTCAACATGATTATTAGATTATCTATTATATTATTATATTGTTATACATTATTATATTATTATATATCTTATATTATTATTCAATTTCTTTTTGGCTGGTCTTGGGGCCTGAACTCTGGGTCAGGGTGCTGTCCCTCAGCTCTTCAGCTCAATGCTAGCACTCTACCACTTGAGCTACAGTGCCACTTCTGGCTCTTTTCTGCTTATGTGGTGCTGAGGAATCAAACCCAGCACCTCATGAATGCAAGGCAAGTACTCAACCACTGAGCTACCTGCCCAGCCTCATTATCCAATAATATTTAAATAGGAAAATGAACCCCAAGTTAAGTATTCAAATGTTTTTTTTCTTTCATGTGATTGTTTCTAACATATTTATAAGATTATTTCTTTGTTGCTTTGTATGTCCCTCCCCCGCGGTATAACCCCTGCTTTCACTGTATTTGATGTTGATATAATTTGTGGAGAGGAAGGGAAAAAACAAATGGTTTAAATAGGGATACAGGTGGACCCATTGCAACAATGAGATGTACAAGTCGTCATGTAGAAAAACGAACTTTACAACTTTACAACTTTGGTGAGGGGGGAGGGTTGGGTGGGGGTAGGGGAAATGGGAAGGGATGGGAAGAGGAAACAAAGGAGGAGGCAACAATGCTTGATAAGAAATGTACTCATTATCTTGCCCATGCAATTGTAACCCCTCTGTCCACTATTTTCACAATTAAAAAAAAAGTAAAATATAAGCAGTTCAAAAAAAAATAATAATATTTAAATATTCTTTTTCTTTGGACAATATCATTAAACCTTTAAATACTCATGAAGTGACGAGTGAAGAAAGCAATAAAAATATTTTATGACAATGATTTCATCAATGTGATTGAAAATATGATTTATTATAAAACGCAAGTGACTCCTGCATCTTCTGAGTGGGTGCAGGTTCTCACGCCCCATTGTCCATGGAGATTACAGTCTTCAATAGAAGATTCCATCCCAAAGCAAAACACCTCTTTTAGCCAGATTGGACCAGTACCTGCAAAAACACAGGCACAACTGCATTAGTTATACATGTTTAGAAGGTGTTTATGTTAGTTATAAGAAAAAAAAAACATTAGTTTACTCACTAGTTAAACACAAAAGTGTCAATCATAGTCTACATGCAAGTTCTATGCTCTGTTAAAATTAAAAGGTTCTTGTCTTACAAAACTATATATTCTGCCAACATGGAAACTACTAAAATACAAAGTAATAATGAAGGTACCAAAGCAGTCCAGAGAATGCAGAGATTAAAGAAGATCTTAATTTTTTCCTAAAGAGTTTTTGTTTTATTAATCTACAAAGGAAGGAAAGAAATGACATTTAATCACAAAGAATTTGTGAAAGCCTGTAGACCTAAGTTGTCCTCTATGTCACAGACTTTGTCCTATCTGTAACATAAAAACGCTAGCAGGAAGGGAAACTTGATAAGACCCTTTTTGTCCCTTCTCAGTTTGTAGTGTATTAGCCTAGATGACCTGGTTTACCAAATATATTGTTTATTTTTAATTAAATTGGCACTAATATTATTGGAAATGGCTTACAAAGTATCCTGTTTCAAGCACTGCATAATACACATTCAGAAATAACTTCAATTTCAAAACAGCTCTCTATGAAGCTATTAAAGACTAAATAAAGATGGTTTTTCAATGAGGCATATATAAGGGTATTACCTCACTTAATTTTTGAATATTCTGTGAGGTCAATAACTATAATATAACAATGTGTACATGGTTGACAATGTATATAGTTGCATAATAACACATGCAAATGTAAATAAAAACAGCTATTGATGATATTTTAACTCAATATATGGAGAACACATGAGCTAACCTTAAACAAAATTGATGAGGCATTCCAGTGCCCATAAAAGAGCTATTCTTTATAAGTAAGGACAGTATGAAAATGGGTGATGTCTCCAGGCATATAACATATAAGATATATTAAACACCAGAGAAATACTTATTAAGGAGGTTAGATAGAAAGTTGGACTGAATAATAAAAATATTGAATTTTTATTATCAATCACCAAAATAAATGGCCCCATCAATTGTGCAATTTGGAACTCTGTCTGGCAGAAGGGGAGACATTGGACTAAAGAGAAAAGAATCTGTCAGGGAGGAGGAAAAGTAAAAGAATGTGCCTATGAAAAGCTTTCTCTGAAATGCAGAGTTTTTACTTGTTCTTGGAATTAAACAGAAAAAAAATTTATTCCATGCATAAATTGGCCATTCATTTATTATATATAACATGTATAATATTTTATATAATTTATTGTATATTTATTTATTTATTGTATATATATATATATATATTTTATAAATCATTATGTGCTTAACTAGAAAGATCCAAACATGAGGCAAAATTATATTTTTGTTTGCCTTGTCAAGGTGATTAGACACATATTTTCCATTAGTATGACAGCAATTAAGTTGTTAGAATCCAAATCATGTTTCCATTATGATTAGTCCATTTTTCTGTTCTTGGGAATGAAACCTGTGGCATGTCAGGCAGGTGCTCTACCACTGAGCTACATCCCCAGACTACAATGTTTCTATAATAAGAAAACAAACATTTTCTTGGATGGATCAATTTCAACAGTAGTAACAGTAGGCAGAAAGGCTCATGCATTCAGTGTGATAGTTATAACAGGACTGAACCTTTTGACTTGAAATTTTAAGCCAGGCCACCAGGATGAGGTAGAAAAATATGATTTTAAAACTAGAAACTTTGCCAAGAATGTTTGGTTCTCAAATTGCTTTGATTTGGGAGGATATTTTACCCTTTACATTTACGTTTATGTGTATGAGTGTATTTGTGTATGAGTGTATTTGTATATCTCCTTTTAGGTTGCTAAAGCTTTATAGAAAGTTCTGGAAAGCACCAAAGGGCTACTCAAAACTAGAGGCAAATAACAATTGAACAAATAGTGGAATACACATGCTAATACAGAAAGAAGTTAAAGCGGTGTGTAATATTGTATTGTATTATAGTCATTGCATTTCTAGACATTGATAAAGCAGATAAATAAGTAGAAGCAGTGTTCTGGGTGAGAGCCATGGAATGTAGTGGTGCAATAATCTTTGTCTCTGGATAGTAGGAAGTTTTATAGTCAGTATTCTGCAGAATACAGTGGAAAAACAAACAATTAGCCTTAGGTCTCAGCAGTGTAGACGTTTTACAATCTAGGAAAAGAAAATTGCAAGTAAGATTGTCCCCATTGCATTTAGGACCATGTAAACAGGAGGAAAGATATTACTTAGTCACTAGCATACTGACAGGTAAACACACATTTTCAGAAACTGGCTGAGGTAATAGTAATGAGAACTGAAGTTTACACTTTTGAATATTTTCTTTTTTTTTTGGTCCAGTAGTGGGGTCTGAACTCTGGGCCTGGGCGCTATTCCTCAGCTCTTCAGCTCAAGGCTAGTGCTTTACCACTTGAGCCATAGCAGCACTTCTGGCTTTTTTCTTTTTTGTTTATGTGGTGCTGAGGAATTGAACCCAGGGCCTCATGCATGCAAGGCAAGCGCTCTACCACTGAGTCACCTTCCCAGCCCCACTTTTGAATATTTTCTACGCAATATGAAAGTGTTGAAGGTGGTGACAAAGATCAAGATGCATTGTATTCATAAGCTGCTTTGTCCGATTGCAAAAATAAATCAATACATATCATACAAAATTAAGAAAATTGAGGGAAGGGGTGAGTCAGGAGTGAGGGGTGAGAATGTTAAAAGGGTTGACAGTGATCACGGTGTGCTATATTCATAAACTGCTTTGTTGAGTGGCAGCTCTTTAGTACAACTACTTAAAGATAATGAAAATACTTTTTAAAACAAACAGAAACATCCAATGTGATTTAGATCTATTATGTGATTGAATCCTCAAATAACCTTAACAAAAGTGCTCTCAAGATGCTATTTTACTCTTAAAGGACCCGAAACTAAGATTTGAATTAGGAACTTGGTCCATAGTACTACAACA